TTCAGCTCTTCACAACCCTGCCTCCCTGCACTCTCTTATGTGTGTTCTTAGTGATTTCCTAGCCTTTGACCTGTAGCTGTCTCTGCTCCTCAAGTTTCCCATGCACCCCTCTTTTAGATTCCCAGTTCCTTGACCTTTCACCCCTTCTACTTGATATCTGATGACACCTACACACACACACACACACACACACACGTGTACACCCACCTGGTTTTCTTTCATAAGAATTTGTATTTGAGGTAGTTCTCAAAACTATTGAGTAGGAACTTGGGTTGGAATTCAGGTCTCTTGGTTCACAGGCCAGTTCTCTTTGTCTTCATCATATCACAGCCATTTTGCTACCATATTGAATTTTCAACCATTCTCAGACACATGAGAACATTGTCTGGATTGGAATCCCTAGATTTTATTGAAAGAGATCTTTGATGGGATATCGTCCTTTCTGTGGGTTTTCATTGAATCAATAATGGCTGTCAAAGATTTTGCTTTTGCTTTTAAGAAGTGAGAGATATACATGGCTTTTATGAAAGTACCCTTCTAAAATATATCATATTAATGTTTTCCAGGGAGTTCCCAAATCATCCTTCCTGACTGAGGAAAAGAGAGCCAGGCTGAAGACCAACCCTGTGAAGGTGCACTTTGCTGAGGAAGTGCTTGTCAGTGGACACAGCCAGGTGCGTCACTGCTCAGGGGATTGAAGTTGCTCTTTATGAAGTGAGCTGCCTTCTCACAAATAAGTCCCTGAAACTCTGGAATCCTGTAAGCACAGAGAGGACACAGAGGGACTGCAGTGCATTTGCTGGAGGCTTTGTGCACCGTCTCAGTGTAATAGCTGCAGACTATGGGCAGGGAGAACTGGTGGGGGGCTCTGGGCGCTGGGCGGGGACTGGGGAGAGAAGCACTGGGTATGGCTCTTTGTTATTCTGTGACTCCATTTTCCTGTCTGTGCAATTTCAACAGATTCTAATAATTAATTTCTGAACCTTCAAACTTATGATTTCCTCTGAGGGTGATATGTTGATAACAGTTGTAGTGGTGATGGGGATTGCTTTTTTTTTAAAAAAAGAGCTTATCACCCATTGGACCTCTGTTACGTGACCTAAACTTTTTTTGTACATAATCCTTTCTCATCACAATACCCTGCAAGGGGAGGTATTTTAACAAAAGAAGAAACAGAGGCTTAAAGAGATTAAGAGAATTAACCTCTAAGCTCACATATTACGAAAATACAGGAGCCTAGGTCTATGTGACTTCAGTTCTTTTGTTTTCCACTGTGACACGCTGTCTAGTCCTTTTTGATGTGCAGAAACACAGGGATGGGAGTTCAGAAGACGAATTTGTAAAGACAAAGTGTTAGCTAGAGTTTGATGTTTTTAACGTGGATTGTTGGATAAAAGGCTCATTTGTTCATAATTTACACATTTCCCCCCAATTGTCTGTAACTATTGCCATTTGGAATTCAGCAATCAATATTAGACTTTGAAACTTTCAAGTCAAAACTGTTCTTTATCTGGTCTTCTTGTCATAGAGACCAGCAAATGGGGGGTCATGGCCGTTTTAACAAAGGATCCAGGTGACCTGGTCCACTTCTACAGAGCCATTAGTTTCTACCTGTCCTGCTACTTAACAGAGCACACCTTCAGTTAGACTTGAGAGAAAAAGGTGGATTTGTTCAGGAGGGGGCCAGTGGAAGGCCTCAGGCATTACTCAGAAAAGACCTGAGATCCTCTCAGTCAACTATATCTGAATGTCTGTGTGTCTGTGTTTGTGAAAATGGATTGAACCTCTTAAATTTAGATTCAACATGTGTTTTTAAAAGTAGTGTACAATGATGACTGATGACAAGTAGGGGTGAGAACCAGCCAGCAGGACTGGTGTGGACCAGGTCACCTGGATGATGACCTGTTAAAATGGGTATGACACCCCATTCACTGGTGTCTATGCTGAGGAGATCAGATAAGGACAAGTTCTGATGTGAACCAGCTACAAAATTAGTTCAGAGTTTTGGTGGGGAGGGAGAGCTTAGAAGAACAGGGTTCTAAGATGTGTCTCTGGAAAGACTTACAGGTTTGGGCCCAAGGGGAATTTATAGGGGTCTCTGAATCAGCTGCACAAGGCAGAGGCAGCAAAACCAGTGAGAGTTCATCACTGTTGGTTTTTTGTTTTTTTTTAAAGGTGACCGGTAAGGGGATCTTAACCCTTGACTTGGTGTTGTCAGCACCACGCTCACCCAGTGAGCCACGGGCTGGCCCTGAGAGTTTATCATTGTGACCTGCCTATTCGTTCTTTCTAGTGTTTTTGTTTTGTTTTGTTTTGTTTGTGTTTTTTGGCAGCTGGCCAGCATGGGGATCTGAACCATTGACCTTGATTTTATCAGCACCATGCTATCCTGAGAGAGCTAAGCCACCAGCCCCATTTCTAGTGTTTAAAAAATGATAAAATTGGTTGTTAAACATGTCCCCTCGAAATTTGATAAGACTCTCCCAAGGATGCACGATCACTCTAGAAAAATCTGAAACAGTGAACCAACATTTGAAATATGTTCAACTTTGCTCAAATTAAAGAAATACAAAGAAAAATGTTAAAAAGTGACAAATTATACTTAGTAAATGAGCACAAATAAAGAAAAAATGTAAGCCCTGGTGCTAAGAAAGTAACTACAGTCATACACTAACTGGTGGCTTTATAAATTGTTTTCAACATTTTGGGGTGGAAAAAACAATGTAATGACTTGTAAAAAGTGTCCCAGGGATCTAAAGTCCACAAAATTATTTAAGTACAAAAATCCATATATTTAAATCAACCTATAGTATCAATATTTGAAATAGCCCCACAAATGGAAAAAATGCTAAATATTTAGGGCAGAGGAATGGTTAAAACAATTCTGATATTTCAGCTAAATAGAGTATTATAAAACCATGAAAATTATAAACATTAAGCCTACATAGAAATTGTATATGAATTATATGTTGGGTAAAAAATGAGAATAGATTATGAATATTTTATTATTGCAGCTCTATAAAAACTATTTACAGATGTAGATAAAAATTGGAAGAAGTCGGGCCGGCCCGGTGGCGCACTGGTTAAGTGCGCCGCTTGGGAAGCGCGGCGGCGCTCCCGCCCGAGGGTTCGGATCCCACATACAGACCGGTTCCTGCTCACTGGCTGAGCGAGGCGCGGGAGCAGCACCGAGGGTTGCGATCCCGTTGCCGGTCCCCGGTCCGGTGCGGGGGCAACACTGAGGGTTGCGATCCGTTGCTGGACACGGAAAAAGACAAAAGACAAAAAAAAAAAAAAAAAATTGGAAGAAGTCTTAGAGAAAAGTAAATGGTGATAGTTACGTGATGCTGTTATGAATGCATTTTTTGTAAACCTATTAAATCACAAATAATAAAGTGCCAAGGAAAAAATTTCCCACTTGGGAAATCTAAAAATTAAGATTTCTAAACACCCAAAGCCAGAGAAGTGAGATGACAGCTGAGTGAGTAGTTTGAAATCCCTCATCGTGATTGACTGTGAAATGGCACTGGAATATGAACATATTTCTTTTTCTCCGTAAAAACACTGTGGTTTAAAAAAAAGTTATAGAGAGTTATTGTTAGTCATGCTTAGAAGATACAAACACCCTCACATTTAGAAGATGCAAGATTCTTATCTGAAAAGGCTGTCGAATCTCTCACTGGTTCTGGAGGACACCAGTCCCAAGAGCCCTTTTTATTTGCAGCTAAACACTCAGAGGTCACTGCTTATGAGGACTGGCCCTGGGAGCATCCCCCAAAACCTTGCTCTGCTCCACCCCAAGAATTCTGGCTGGCATGGAGTCACCAAACACAGACCAGCCTTCTTCCTAAAAAACACTCCAAGAGTGGCAGAGTCCCATAGGAGATCTGGCAAATCTGGGATGATGGTAGGGTAATGGAGATGGAGAGCATCTCTCTGCTCTTTGGTGGTGCTTTACTACAGGGAATGCAGCATTAAAAGAGGGGGCTCTGAGGGAGCGTTCCACCCCCACTCCCACCATCCCACCCCAAATTCTCCCCATTCCACCCCACGTCCACAAGTTCAGGTCCAAGAATCCCAGAAAGGACCATTCTGGACAGCATGCTTGCTGGTCATCTAGCTTGCCAAATTGCCTCCTCTAAGGGTGGCAACCAGTAGTGAAATGTCAGCTGATGGTCATGAGACAATGCACAGGCTTGTGCTGTGATATCAGTATGCTCACGGCAGGGCTCACTCTCCTCCACCGTCCATTATATCTAACAGTTCTCATGGGTGTTGACGAAGTGTGCCTGTTCATTGCAGAAATTCCCCAATGCCAAGAAGCAACCCCTGACATAGTGAGGAGGTTAGGGAGGATCCTGTTCTCCAAACCAGGCAGGGCTAAGTGGCTGAGGATTTGTCACAGCAAGGTGCAGGAAGGGTGTGACAGGGACACAACACTACTCTTTTGTTTTCCAGGGTAATTCTCTGCTGTGTATGCCCAATGTGCTCAAGCTGTACTTGGAGAATGGACAGACCAAAGCTTTCAAGTTTGAAGCAAACACAACTGTGAAGGTATTAAGACTAAATCTCTTTCTTAGGAGAGTTTGCTATCTCCTAGGAACCCCAGGCATCTTTCCCTGCATCTGCCCTGGTGGTCTCACAACCACCATGGTCTGAGCACTTTCAACAAGCCAAGCACTGTATTATCTCATTTACTGGCACAACCACCCAGCAAGATAGTATTTTTATCACTGTCTTGTAGGGGAAGAAATTAGGACTCAGAAGGTGAAGTGACTTATCCAAGGTCATATTACAACTCCTAAGCCTTCCCCCTTAACCACCAGGAATCCCTGTCTCTTGTCTGTGATTCCACCTGCTACCCCAAAACACTAGAGTACCTAAAAACCCAGGCTAGATGTCAGGACAAGCCCAGGCCCCTGCATATTCTGTTCTGCATTGAAGTCAGTTTAACTCACACTTAACAAGTTCCCCCATACAGGATGCTCTGAGAGGGGTTACTGAGCTTGGTAAAGTGGGGTCTCTGTCTTCAGGAGCTTGCAGTCTAGTTGAGGGAGGGTGGACATTCAAGGAGCTCCCAATAGTCCAGGGCAGGATAAAATCAGGGCTGTAAAGAAAGGAATAAGGAAGTGCTGTGCGTGCAAGGGAAAGAGCACCATCTGTTCTGTACTGTCAGAATATCAGATAAGGCTTGGGAAAGAAGCTGAACCTGAGCTGAGCTTTGAAGGGCAATAAGATTTCAACAAGGGCAGCTAAGAACGGGAAAGCTAGGGGATGGGACAGACAGCAGTCTGAGGAAGTCACACAAACTAATGCAGAGAGCCAGAAAAACAGGCATTGCCCAGGAAATAGTGAACCATCCAGCAGGACTGGAGCACAGGCCATTTTCTTAAGGGGGAGGGAGCGGCTATGGAGGGTTTCAAATGCCAGGTGACAGAGTTCAGATTTTATCCATAGACAATAAGGAATGGCACTAATAGTTATTGAACAAGAGAGTAAATAGTGTTAGAGTGAGGCTGCGGTGAAGAAGTCAAGTTGTTCAAACATTAAAAACATCAGAGGAGCAACTCCACCATCTTGGACCTACTAAACAGGCACAGGGACGAAAGCCCCCTCTAAGTATGTGTCCATGCTGCAACCAGGAAGAACAGAACAGGCCACCTCCAGAGGTGCAGAATGATGACACTAGCCCTGGAGCAACTCCACCATCTTGGACCTACTAAACAGGCACAGGGACGAAAGCCCCCACTAAGTATGTGTCTGTGCTGCAACCAGGAAGAACAGAACAGGCCACCTCCAGAGGTGCAGAATGATGACACTAGCCCTCACCCCTTGCCCTAGAAGGGACCCTGGACAGCTCCTCTTAAAGAGCTAGCTTCCCTATAGCTGCCTCCCTTACGCAGAAGCTCTCTTCTCTTCAAATAAAGCATTGCTGGGATTAGGAGGGAAAAAAAATCAAGCCTAGCTTTTCTGGTGCTGGGGGAAGAGCAGGTTCCAGTAGGCCAGTGCAGCCATGTGTAATGGACGGTAGCCAAGACACACATGCACACACACACACACACACACGAAAGCACACACATACATTTACACATGCATACATGTGCGCACGCACACACACACACCTGTACTGGTAGCCAAGACACACATGCACACACACACACACACACACACACATGAAAGCACACACATACATTTACACATGCATACATGTGCGCACGCACACACACACACCTGTACCCAGTGTTTCTCTCTGGCATCTCCCTTTAGCAATTCTTAGAGCTGCTCCAAATGCCCTATCCCATTCTTACCTAAGCATGACTTAGAAGAAGCTGGAGAAAGCCTCTGTGAACCCAGGAAGTTCCAAGCCCAGAGGAGAAAGGGGACGGAGGAATGGATTTTCAGTGTTTACTACATGTCAGGCACTCACTCTCCTGGGCACTTTCACGTATACTATCTATTTAATGCCCCCAATAACCTTGTGAAGTGACTAGTGTTGTCCCCACTTTGCAGACAAGAAAACAGGACCAAAACATCCAAGACTTGCCAAGGTGACCTAGCTCGTAACTGGCTTCAAACTTAGTCTGTTTTTGAACTCTGTGCTGGAGCTCGCTGTGCTGCCATTGGAAGGGTTGAGTTCTTTAAAGTGAGTCACCCTTGGGTGGCCAAAATGACTTTGAAGTGATTTACAATAAGAGCCCACATCACAGAGGAATTAAACCCCAGATGACAGAGAGTTGGGGAAATGAATGAGGACTTAGCCAGCATAATACTGGTTAATATTACTTACCTGTAGTAGCCAAATTTTTAAAATCAAATCTTTTAGCTCTTTATGACAAAGAGAATATAAACAAATTCTAAGGGTGAAAAAAGGAAAAATCATGGTTAGTTCATCAGTTACTTCTGTTACCCTCTCCCTTACCAAAGGAAGAAAAGTTCTTATATCAGAAAACCCTATTTCTCTAAATCAAGGAAAATAATATGTCATTTGACTCAGCTAATATTTACTCACACTTTTTGTGTGCTAGGGATTTCTGTACCACCAACAGTTTGGCTGTTGGTGATATAAAAGTAAATTACAAGCCTGGAGTCTTGGGTTGGGCAGGGTGAGATGAGACCTGGGGATAACTTACTATAAAATGAGGTACAGTGTGCTTAGGATCATGAAAGCAGGACAGAAACGGTGTGGTATGAGCTCAGGGGAGGGAGAGCTTCCAGCTGGGAGGCAAGGAAAGGCCTCCGGGGAGTGGTGGCCTACCTGGCAGACTTGGAAAGGTAGATTGGCTTTTGACAGGAAGAGGCCAGGAGTGGTGTGTGAAGATGGCATCCAGGTATAGGGAGCAGCACCAACAAAGACCCAGAGACGTGCAAGTTTGGCAAGCGTATGAGGCTTGTGAGCAGGGTACATTGGGAGAAGCAACAGAAGATAAATTGGGAGAAGTGCTTTGGCACCTGATACTTGAGAGCCTTGAATATTAAACTGAGGAGTTTGGATTTTGGCCAGCGGGCCGTGGGGAGCCACTGAATATTCTTGAACAAGGGAGAACATGACAAGTACAAGGCTTAGACAAGTTCCTGTAGATCAGGAGTCAGCAAATTTTTTTTCTAAAGAATCAGATAGTAAATATTTTACATTTTACAAGTCATCAGGTCTCTGTTATAATTATACAACTCTGCCCATTGTAGCTTATGGGCATGGCTTTGTTATCATAAAATTTTAATTACAAAAACAGTCATGGGCTATGGTTTGCCAACCCCTGCTCTAGAGGCAAGGTGAAGAATAGGTGGGTAGCTGCAGAGTCCTTTGAATACCACTCTGCAAAGCCAGGAGAAATGTGTGAGCTCAAGTCAAGGTAGACGTGGGAGAATGGAGAAGGCACAGAGTCAAGAGACAGGCTTTCCATTATGGCTGGCACAATGCCTAGCACACAGTAGGCACTGAATTAAAGTTGTTGGGTTGAAGAAGCAGATAGACTCTTCAGGGCTTAGACACTGGTGAGTTATGGAGGGTGATGGAACAATTAGAGAGAGGATTCAGAATTGGGAGTCACGAGAAGCAGGTAGTACCCAGCGGTCTGGGACTTACTAAATTTCTGGCCAGATATCTATGATGATTATTCATCAAGTGAAAGTTTCCTGAGCATCTACTAAATGCCAAGCATTGGGGATATAATGGAGCACAAGACAGGCAAGGTTTGCATTCCCAGGGAGTTTACCATCTAGCAGGGTAAAAGATAATAAGCAAGAAAACACATGTTAGCAGTTAGTATGTGTTAAATACTTACCATCTGCTGAGTACTATTCTAAGTGCCTTATATGGGGAAATTAATTTAATGTATATAACAACCCTATGAGATAGGTGTTAATATTATGGCCATTTTACAGATGGAAACACTGGGGCATGGAGAGAGTAAGCAATTTATCCAGGGACACACAGCTAGTAAGTGGTAATCAAGGTCTAGACCCATTCACTTTGGTTTACTGTACTGTCTTTTACTAAAGAACATAGCTGTTGTTGAAGAAATTAATATTTGATAACGATGAGGGAAATAAACACATCCCAGGGACAGAGAGTAACAGGGACAATCACATTTTGATCAGTGTCCACAGAAGGCCTCTCGGAGGAGGTGGTATTTGACTTAAACTTGAAGAGCAACAGGCTTGTGAAGAGTCATGGGAAGAGTGTGCGAGGCAGGGGAAATAGCATGTGTGAATGCCCGAGGAAGCCAAGACCTTGTCATGACAGAGGGCCGCTGCAGCGACTGCCTCAGCACAGCATTAGTTGTCCTTCCCTCCTGTCAGCCACTCTGAGAAGTAGGCGTCATTACCCCCATTTCACAGAGGAAGAAACTGAGGTTAGAAATGTCAGGTTGATTTCCCACAGTTGATAGGGAGTGGGTGGTGGGATTCGGTCCAGCAGAAGATACAGACTGGGCACGACAGAGAGGGAGGAAGGAGCCCCCTTGGATGGCTTCAGCCTTCCAAGTGGAGCAAGAGAGGGTGTTTGTATGGGTGGCCCTGGAGCCAGAGGAGTGGGAGCCGTGGATGTGGGGCCATGGGGGGCCTGATGGGTGGGAGCTGGAGCTGGAGCCTGACTGAGTTGGTAGAGGACCCGTCAGCACAGGCTTTTCTCTCCCCAGCTACACTGAGGAGCAGCGAGAAGGTCAGGGAAATCCTCCCTGCTCCTTGGGTGACCCCTGTGCCTCTCTCTGCCTGCTAGGACATCATCCTCACAGTGAAGGAGAAGCTGTCGATCCGCAGTATCGAGTACTTTGCACTGGTCCTGGAAGAGCAGTACAGTGTCTCCCGGCTGCACCTCCTGCATGAGGAGGAGCTCATCCAGCAGGTAGGGGGACCACCCACTGCTCCAGGGAGGCATGGGCTGGGCTGGCTGCACACCTCAGCCAGAACCCTTGGGGTCAGTGCTCAGTACATCTGCCAGTTTGGTGCAGAAGGCACAGAGCTCACTGAGCTTGGACACAGCAGGATCAGAACCGGGCCTGATTTTTATCTGCTCTTATGACGTAGTGAGGGCACAGATTTAAGGTCCCCATTTTTCAGAAACAGAGACAGAGGCTTAGAGAGGTGATTTTCTCAAGGTAATACAGCTGATAGAGCCCTGATCTTTTGCTTCCAGATGATCTTGCTTGCACCTGCTGCCTTTGAGATGTTAGGGAAGAATTTTGCTGTGTGTGTCTAAGCCCTTTTTGTGGGACTTACCCCCCTGAGATGGTCCCTCATGGCAGGGCAGGGCAAACATACCTGGTCTGTCTGTGCCACAATCTTTCAGCCATTCAGTGATTTGTTGTGTCAACTTTTTAAAGCCAAACACAGGTCAGTTCAACAAACCCTTGTTGAGTGTGTGTACTCGTACAAAGATGAGTAGGATTTCAACTATTGGAAAAGGGGAAGGAGCTTTTTAAGCAGAGCAATGGCATGAGTAGGGTTTGACCACATGGAAGCCACTCAGCGTTCCTCATTGCAGATAAATCTCACCCCGTCACTCACCTTCTTATACTGCTGCTTGCAACTTTTAAAAAAATTACTTCTATTCCACTTGCATGGGAGAAGAAAATCAAATTAAATCCCTAAGATAGGTTAAGTGAAAAAAAGTAAGGTGCAGAATGGTATGTACACTACATTATTATTTGTGGAAAAGAATATACATATATAGAGGTGTGTATATACATAGCCTGTCTCTGGAAGGGAATGTAAGAAACTGGAAACAGGGTTTTCCTCTGGAAAGGAGAACTGGGGCATGAGTCAGTGGGAAAATATGCCCTTTTAAACCTTTTACACTTTATATGCATGAGAAAGAAAGTCAAAGCAGGGGTCTACCAGCTCTCTTGGGAGGCACTAAAACCGAAGTCTCTAGAGACTGTCTTTCATTGTGTTTTTTTCTTTTTAAAGTTGTTTTGTGGGATACCTGCAAGGACAAAGGCAGTTGGAAGATTAATAGTATCTCCCTTACCCATCACAGGTGGTAGAAAGAGAAGAGTCCCATGACTCTCGCTGCCTCTTCAGGGTGTGTTTTGTTCCCAAGGACCCCCTGGATCTCCTGAAAGAAGACCCTGTGGCCTTTGAGTACCTCTATCTGCAGGTGACTGGGTCTGTGCTTCCTAACATAACAGTGGTTGTTCTCAAAGATGGCACATTGGGTTGTTTTAAACATGAGCCAAGGCAGTTAAGCAACTCCCTGGCAGGGATTATCTTTATCTGAAGAAGAGAGGACCTGATTATCCCTCAGAATTCCCTTTTCCATCGCCGAGTTGCTGTGTTAGGAGATTTGCAACATAATAATGAAATTTAGGCTTAGTCTTCAATGTAGACGATACATTTTCTAATACCTTTTTAGGATCTTTAGAATTACAGCTTTTATTGCTAAAAGGGACTTTAGTGCTTCAAAGCCTCATTTTACGGATGATGAAACCAAGTTTTGGAAAGGTCATGTGATTTGTACTGGTCACCCACTTACTAGCAGAGCCAAAAACTGGCTCTTTGACCCCTAGCCTGGTGCTCCCCCTACTCCACCTCCTTAGGTGAGATTTATTATATCATTTTTATTCTGATGAAAAGAATCATTTGGGAGACATCACCATTTTACAGAATAGATAACTTAGACGAGGTGGATTGACTTGCCCAAAGTCTCACAGAAATGGTGGCAGAATATAATCATAACAACAACAGTGCCATCAGTACTTTATATTGTATAATACTGTGTGCTTTGTACCTGCTTTCATGTGCGTTATCTAATTTAAACCTCACAGAAACTGTGTAAAGTAGATTTGACTACTTCATCTAGCCGTGGAAGACACTAGTGCGCAGAGAGTTTTGGTGACTTAACCAAGGTGACACAGCCAAGAACTGTCTGATCCAGGTCTCAAAGCTGAGCTCCTGGTCCTGCTGCCTTTCGCTTGAGAGAACCAGGGGACACAGTCTGTCGGTTTGTGTTTCTCAAGTGCTCTGATCTAATCTCTTCTAGAGCTGCAGTGACGTGCTCCAGGAGCGCTTTGCTGTAGAAATGAAATGCAGCTCTGCACTTCGACTAGCGGCCCTGCACATCCAGGAGAGGATCTATGCGTGTGCACAGCCACAGAAGATCTCTTTGAAGTATATAGAGTGAGTGGCAGGGGACAGCAGTTGTGTTGCCTTTATAACTTGCTGGCCCCTGGCCAGGATGGCTAGATTCTACCAAAAGCTGATATTCACCCACCTATTGTCTGTCCATTGTCTTTCCATCCATTTCTCTCTCCAGCCTCTCCGATCCAGCCTGGCTCCCCCAGATGTCAGAACCTGACTGTCCCCTCTAGGGCAGAAGCCAGCTCCAAATAGAATGACAACAAAGGTCTCCTTCTAAATTCCCAGTTCCAGGGAGGATATCTTGGGAAATCAGTGGACAACTTTGATGTCAGGCTTTTGTAAGGGCAGGAATGCCTTGGAAATTAGTTTTTCCTAGGGGCGTGAACCAATTCCTACTGCATTATACCCCCACTAGTGCAGCTTCAAGTCCTAGGATTCCAGCATCTCCTGATTCTAAGCTTAGCATTGCTCTGGGCAGCATTACCCAGTTTTGCTAAGCTCCTCCCTAGATCTTATCTCTGTCCTGTCTGGGCATCAAAATCAGATGGAGAATCATACTTAAAAAAAAGTGCAACAGATCCTTGGCCCTACCCCTGCTGTACTGAATCAAATCTCTAGGGACTGGGAGCTGAGAGGCTGTATTTTCAACAAGTTTGTGGGGGATTTTGAGGCTGCTAGGCTTGTATCATTCTGAAGCTTGGCCCTGGGAACTCACAGGTGCTGTATGTTGCCCCATGAATGTGTGTTCTACATGCATGATCATTATTTGTCACACACATGGTGAAAAAAGATTGAGAACTTCTCTGATTAATAGAATATCACACCACACCAAGAGTAATGAGCTCCCAGAATAGTAAGCGGGGTTTAATTCCTGAGTGGCTGTGGTGATTTTTGTGGGGTGTAAGTGTGTGTGTGTGTGTGTGTGTGTGTGTGTGTGTGTGTGTGACACAGAGAGGGCGCTAGACATGTGCGTCTATGGAATATATATATTCTTTATAATATATTTTACTTATTTTACTTATATATCTATAAAATAATATACAGATAAATATATATAATAATATGTAGTATTATGAATATATAAAAATATATAAATAAATAAGTATATGTATTTCTTCCACTGGAGAAAGAGGCTCATAATTGCTGTATTGGAGTCACTAAGTATTAAATCGAATATAATTACGCTCTTCATTAGAGCCAAGTACACTGTAAAAATGGGCCTCCTTGTCTCCAATGTCTCATGGCAGGAAAGACTGGGGAATAGAGAACTTTATATCTCCAACTTTACTCCGAAACATGAAAGGCAAAGACATCAAGAAAGCCATTAGCTTCCACATGAAGAGGAACCAGAATTTGCTGGAACCCCGACAGAAGGTAATGTAGCCATGGCCTCTGCAGCCCACCAAGCTGTCTGTTGTGAAACCTCAGGGACAGTTTTTTCAACGTTGCCTGGATTTTAGGCAAGTGAGTAAATCTGACTTCAACAATTTTTTTTTTCTATTTAAGCAACTTATTTCTGCTGCCCAGCTACGTTTAAATTATCTACAGATCCTTGGGGAACTCAAGACATATGGTGGGAAAATCTTTAATGCTACTTTAATGGTATGTATTAGAGAACTGTGGAATCCTACTCTTACAAGGGACCTCAGAGATCCTCTGAAAATCTATATATCTTTTAGCTTAAAATTCCTGAGGACTCTGTCATGTACTGGAATTTGTTTGGGGAACTAAATATTACACCACTGGCAAGCATCATATCTTTGCTTAGTGCTAGCCCTACGATAGATGGGAGGCAGGGCTGAATCAGAAGTGACTCCCATTCTTAAAGGATGAAACAAGCTACTCAAGACAAAACAAAGCCATGAGACAGGTACAGGCCTGTCACTGTGGAGTTTGAAGACACAGGTACCACTGCTAGCTTCAGGGTGAGTATAGGAAGGAGAAGAGAGTGAAGAGAGAGAACAAGGTTGGATTTGGCCAGGCTTCAGTATAGAGGAAGGGCGTTCTGGGTGAGGGGTGCTGTAAGCGGTTTACTCTCGAGCTTTGGGCATATGAAGGTAGAGAAGAAAAATTGGAAATCATGAAGGAAAGATAAGAATGTTAGACTGACTGCCAAGCTGGGGCCCTGATTGTTGAGAGGAAGGGAAGAACCGAGGGGTGGCCTGAGAAGGGAAGAGAGAGCTGGAAGAGCCCTCTGCTTTGTTCCTGTTCTTGCCGCCGCTTTGAGCGTGCGCTCTTCAGCAGGCAGAGTCTGGGGATGTTGTTTAAGGGAACTCTCGGTCAGCCCAGAACCCTGCAGAACACAGCAAGTGTACCAATTAGAGGTGTTGTTAGTTTTATTTTGTTTTAATGTCAACAAAACTCTGTCAGAGGATTTGGTGTGCTTCTCAGTTATTCACTGTCATGGGTCAGTTTATTCAGATTGCTGACCCAACAGTGTAGACGGAAGAGGAGAATCAATGTATTGAGAGAAAGGATGAGCATCAGATGGTAAGGCGAAGAGGAAAAATAGATGGAGCCTCTGTATAAGTAGAAGACCCACAGGTAGAAAAGAGATTAGATCACAGAAAGGAAGGTTTTAAAGGTACAAGAAAAACTTCCCAATTTTCCCAAGGGCTAATTCTTCCCTCTCCCAGCTGTCAAGTTCCTGTCCCCAGTCTCCCTTTACCTTTCCTGTCTGAGAAAAGAACTGGTAATGAGAGAAGCAGCCAACCACACTGAACTGGCTCAGGGTGCTTGCTGGGCAGTGGGGGTTACAGATGCAGATAAACACAGACTCTGTTGTCAGGAAACTTAACATGGAATATGACAGTTGGATACAAATAATTACAGTAGGAAGTTATGTGCTCAGTGCTATCAGAGAAGGACAGAGGGAACAGTATGGGAACAACACAGAGGAAGGGGCTGTTCTGTTCTGAGGAAGCAGAGATCAGGCAGATGCTTTCGTAGACAGCAGGTTTTGATGTAAACTTTTCAAGAAGGGTTGAGATTTCAATAGGTAATGATAGCAGAGAAGGGATTATACACATCATGAATGTGGGCACATAGGTATGAAAGTACAGATTGTGTTTATAGAACAGGTAATAGTCCTGTGGCTTGGTGCTCTACTGGAGAGGGCCTTATGGGAAATAAATGTACATTTAGTTTAGCTCCAGGTGAGCCCAAGTGAGGCAATAGTTTAGGGGAGTGATGGTGAGGACCTAAAGTAGTAATCGAGGAGTTTGCAGAGAGAGGTATCATTTCTTGCATTTCTTGGATTATGCATTGTATTTTCACTATCATATGAACGGAAACTAATTCCCCTTTCACTCTTCTGCAGTTACAGGACAGAGAATCCTATGTTGCCCTTCTAGTTGGAGCCAAGTATGGGATTAGCCAAATTATCAATAGCAAACTCAACATCATGTCCACACTGGCGGAGTTTGCAAACATCAGCCGTGTAGAGCTGACAGAAGAGTCTGAGAAAGTGAGCATGGTCAAAGTGTATCTTCAGGATGTCAAGGTAACATAAGGGGGAGAGATTCTGAATCCAGCTTCTGGGATTTGGGACTAAATTATTCTAGGGTAGTTTATATGAGTTTTGAATAATAATAAAGTCTATTGTCCATCTCCAGCATCCATTTAAGAGAATGGATTGTCCATCCTGTCCCATCAAAGGGAAAGTGATGGAGCAGTGCATTTTTGTCGGAAGGTTCTAAAAGGTTTTTTTGTATAAACTGAGCTAGACCGTGTGCTTTCCTGATAGAGATGTTCCTGTTGGGTTCAGAAATTTAGATGGGAACACCAGAGGATTTTATCACAAGCCTGGGACCAGATGGCTGCCCGAGAGTTTTGAGTGGCAGGAACTAAAATGGATAAATCGTGCAGGGTACTTCCTGAGCCTCTCCGGAAAGTCCTACACTTATCCTGCCCTCCTTTGATTTAATCTCAACATGCTCAAGAATGGTGCTTTATTCTTATCACCCTCTTCCTCATTCTCTACTCATTCTTGCTTCTTTTCCTTTTTTAGTTTAGGTCTTTGAGGGGACCCTGTTGTATGACTGAGCAGGGTAGGGTGGGATGGTTGATATGGGGGACGGGGGCAGAGAACGGAGAAACAGGGCACACTGTGTAGATTTTATGGGAGGAACCCACTGTGCATTTGTGAGTGTGTGCATGCACAGGTGTGATTGTGTCTGTGTATGTGTACATGCATGTGCTCATTTAAAGCCTTGTAGGTAAGAATATGGGGCACCAGAAGGCCTGCCTGTGGCCCATGGCTGGGTTCACTTGGAATCTCTCATTGGCCCCACATGGCCTTGTTGTCAGTCTTCAGACTGTCCCTTGGCCCTTTATAAATGTAAAAGTTCTCTTTACCTTCAAGGTTCTGACTTTGCTGCTGGAAGGCAACAGTGCAAAAGACCTCGCCTGCCTGATTGCTGGGTACTACAGGCTGTTTGTTGACCCAGATACCTCCATTTTCCTCTGGCCTGGAAACAAACAAGTGCATCGGGTATCAGCTGAAGAAGGTGAGGCCCTAGTAAGGACAGACCCATTTCACTGGCCTTGTAGGTAAGGGCAGCCTAAAGGAAGGTGGTAAATTGAATTGAGCTGAGACTTCAACTCAAATTATGAGAGCTACTTCTCCATTTATTTCCTAGTAAACAGTTGATTTTTCTTAAATCCTACACAGAGAAACTTTCTTTGTACCTGAAGTTCTCCTAAAGCCAAGGAATGCTGTTGAAGATCTCTGATTCCCCATATTTTCTAAAATCATCTCTAAGATCCATTGCATTTTATTATTTCCCAGCAAAAAGAGATGTCACTTACTTGTTCAGAAAGCAGATGACCTGGCTTCTCTTCCCTGCCTATGCACTCTTTTGCACGCTCTTAAATTATAATAGAAATTCTATTATAATAGAAATGACAGGTTTAGAGGAAGAGCATACCTGGAGACAAAAGAGATTTGAAATCATATCATATAAGGAATGAAGAAGTGGAGGGCAGATGAGAACAGTTTCTCAGGCTAACTTCCAATTTCCTTCAGGCTTTTGTTTCAGCACTACCAATGCAGCATTTCCTAGTGGTATGCTAAGAAATGTTTGACCGTCTCTGCAGGGTGAAAAAACCCTGATTTGAAGCAATTGCCTAACTCTGTGGTATAAACACTCCCACCATGGCTAATTTCAAGCTACCAATGTGGTGTCAATGAATGGGGATAATATGGGAAGAGATGCTCAGTAGCACATTATCTAGTATTTCCTCCATATGGATAAAGTAGACAAATCATTTCAGGAGAAGAGATAACAGTAAAATAGGAAGCCATGAGCTTGAGTATTTGTTTCCTTTGTTTTCATGCAGTATATGAGAATGAGGGATGATGTCTCAGAGTCGGGGCGGGGAGATGTCACAGAGTGGGGCGGTGCTGTAATGGAGGTTGGTGGTGGGAGGACTGCTGCGGGGGCAGAAAGCAGCAGTGGGGAAAGTTCTCGAGAGGGGGAGGTATTTGACATAGATCTTGAATAGCATGCTGTAGTGAACCAGGCAAAGAAAAGAGGAGAGATCATTCGAGGCACAGAGAACGTGGAGACCTGATACCAGGGCAAGGTCATGATCCGTCAGAAGCTCTCTATGTGGCTGGGGCGTGGTGGGGAAGGCTGCAGCGGGCAGCCAGGATCTGAGGAGGGGTCGGGCCATGCTGTGAGAATCTTTAATTCTGGTGGGAGAGCTCTGGTTCTTCCCTGTAGGCAGGGGAAGCCATCAGAGGGTTTAAGCAGAATGTGTTGTGATCAGAGAGAGGTTTTAGAAAGATCACTCTAGAGGCTTATGGAAGAAAAGAGACTGGAGACCTGGCTCAATGTCCCCCACCCTCCTGCCTTTAATCCCTCCTGGGCACCTGCATCTAGATGAGTTTACACCTCCTGAAAGGCCCATAGCACCAGTGGATCCCCAAGGCCAGCCTTCAGAAGGTGCCAATCTAGTAGCCTAAGAATCCCCATAAAGTTGCTAAAAATACAGTCTTAGGCCCCACTTCCTAAAGTTTTGACTCAGTATGCCAGGGGCAGGGCCAAGGATCTGTTCTATTTTTTTAATATGATTTCCCATCTGATTTTGATGCCCAGACAGGTCAGAGCTGAGATTTGAGGAGTGGCTTAGTAAACCTGGGTGATACTGCCCATGACAAAGTGAAATCCAATTAAATACCCACCATGTTTCCACAAGCAGATAGTTCTCCTCAGAAGTAGGGATGGAGTTAATCCTGTCTCCTTTAGGTGACCCAGACAGATGTGAGGTAGGTGGCCTGATGGTGTAGGGAGAACATGGAATTTGGAGTCCTTAGGATCCTGTGTCAGTCTTTATAGCATGACCTTGGGCCAGTCACTCTTCTGGACCTCAGTTTTCTCATCTGGCAGGATAGAGGGGGTGGGAGGACACCCAGGCATCTGCTGGTCCCAGAATGCTGGTTTGTAACCCTCAGTGTCCCCTGTGTTGCAGGCTATGAATCCAGGGCCTGCAGCGACTCCGAGGAGTCCTCTGAAATAGACTGTGTCCTGGAGCCTCTTTCTGACAGACGGCTGGTGAAGCTGGGCCCCTGCAGTCCTCTCACAGAAGAGGAGCAGCCTCTTGGGAACAGCCCCATGCTGGAGGTGTCCAGGAAAGGCCCAAGCACCTGTGGAGCCAGCAGCATGACAGACAGTGCCGAGTCTGAGGCGTCCGACTCGGCCAACACCGAGAGCCGAGGCTGCAGGACCAGTGGCTCGAGTGAGTCCATGGATGCCCTGGAAGAGGACGACTTAGATGCCTGCTCCTCCATCAGGTCTAGCTTCTTCTACTTTGACTCACCAGGTTTCCCAGACAGTCTTGATTCCGACAGCCAAGAGGAGAGGAGCGGGATCGAAACCAATGGCTTCCTCTGTCTCATGGACCTGACCCAGAGGACCAACCCTCAGGGCCACAAGACAAAGTTTTCCGAGAGTCCCGCTCCCGAGACATTCAGCTGGGGACCAGAACTGAGCGTGGTCAGGCTGGACCCCAGGATGTATGAAGGCAGCCGGATCAACTACTACAGTCTGTGCTCCAGCATCTCCCCGGCCAGCCACCTGAGCGACAGTTTAGAGAGCACAGCTTCCCGGCAGGGGGGAGCCCCGCCAGCCTGGGGTCAGCAGGGCTGGACTGAGGCCCAGCCCAGCACCGCGCTGGAAGCCCTGGCCCCGTGCCCGCCGCCGACCTTTGAGGATGGCAGCTCAGATGAGGAATACTATGACGCAGCTGACAAGCTCACGCCCCCACACACCCTCTCAGGTGAGCCCTGCCCAGCGGCTCTGCAGATTCTGCAGACAGCTCCTGAGGACCCGTCAGGGCCCAGGGCCCAGGGCCAAGCTTGAGAGAAAGACACATAAGTCAAACAGAGTCCTTGTCCACTTCCACTTTGAGGCAGACCTCATTCCATGGGCCAAATTACAAGCATCATGGCTTCCAAGTCAGGCCTACAAGGGAGGTTCAGAGAACTGTGGGCAAGCAGAGATGGGACGGATTCATTCAACAGTGGGAATCAGGGAAGGCTTCCCAGAAGAGGTGGCAGACAGGCTGGGCCTTGTGGGATGGAGAAAAAAGAAAAGGGTTTGAAGGGAGTGCCCAGCAGAGGGAACTGACTGTGTTATGGTTGACCTTGAAGCTACATTAAAGGCCTCGAAGCCAGAAGAACCTAACTGACAGGTCATCAGTGGCCCTGTAGGGCCTTTTGGAGCCCAAGGGACCATGACATCAGAAGGCAGGGGATCTGTTGGCTATGTTTCTATCGGGTTGTCATGTGTTCCTCCACAAAGCATGTGGAGTGTCTTTCCACAAAGAATGACTTCCCAAGCCGAGCTGAGATCCTTGCAGGACATGTGCAGGTCACATGCGCCCACACACTCACACATACGCTTATGCTGCACTCTGAAGAAAAAGTATTGGAAAATAGCACTAGACATTGAGGGGGACCCACTAGGAGTCAGGAAAGCTGCAGCACTTGTATTTCTGTTTCAGCCCTTTGCTGTGGCTCGCTGGTCCTCTGCTGCCTGCCCTCCACTGGTTCCCATTGCCCTTGGGGAAAAGGCCAGCTCCTTAGTGGGCCCTGTGAGGCCCTTCAAAGCCCTCTGTGGCACAGCCTCTGTCTGTCCCTCTCCCTCTTCCTGAGCCCTCTCTGCATTCCTGCCACACAGACCTCCTTGCCATTTGGTAAGTGTGCCAGCCGTTTCCATCCCTGGCTTTTGCACATGCTGCTCTTTCTGCCTGAAGCATTCTCCTCACCCTGATCCTTGGCTGGCGAGACCCATCATCTGTAGGTCACAGCTGGAAGTTCACTTCCTCAGGGAACATTTCTCAGACTTCTCAGACCAGGGTAGGTCTCTCCATCTCTGTCCCATGTTCTTAAAGCACCCGGGGTTTTTTATGCCTGGTGTTTAGCACTGCCTATAACTACATATTTGATTGTATGATTTTGTATTGACATTTCTCTTCCCTACTAGACTAAGAACTCTTTTGAGCTCAGAACTGTGTGTTTCTCACTCATCACTGTGTCCTCAGCACACAGTGCCTGGCAATTGTTGCTAAGTGAATGAACGAACTCTCCACTATCTACCCTGAGTTCAGTAATTGACTGTGTCCCTAAGGAGAGGAGAAACCATGGCCAGAATGTACACTGCTCCTCAAAGAATCCAGCCAACAGCTTTCTGTGTCCCCAGCCTTGCCCCGCTGGACCAGCCATTGCCCTGGTGGGAAGGATAGGAGCATGACAGGGACCGTCAGGCAGGGCCTTTTTATGGGAGTCTAGTCAGGGACATAAGGTCCATACTGGACACTTCATTTTTTACAGAGAGCCAGTGTGGTGCTGAAGCGAAAGCCCAGAACTGGGACTCTGGAACTGGGATTCTGGTCTGGCCCCTGACTCAGCTCGGGAGCCCCTCCTTCTGGGGGCCCAAGAAACTGCTTCCATCAGTGGCTGTAGGTAGCCTAGTACAATAGCTCCCAAACATGGATGGGCATCAGAATCACCCAAGGGACCTTGAAAAAAAACTGTAGGTTCCTCAGTCTGGGCCTCAGAGATTCTGATTTAGAAGGCCTGGGGAACAGCCTAGGATTTGATAAGACTTTTGTGTTTTGTTTTGTTTTGTTGGCAGCTGGCTGGTACAGGGATCTGAACTCTTGACGTTGGTATTACCACTAACTAAGTGTGCCAACCGGCCAGCCCCTTGATAAGATTTTCAATAGCTTGCAGCCAGGTTGGAACCTACTGGTCTGAGTATACAAGGCCTCTGATTGTCAAGTGCTAGGTTGCGATCCTAATTCCTTCTGGTAATTCCCAGGACTTCTTCACAGCAGTGCTTCTCCTCTCTGAAAGATCCATCCAGCATGCACAGGACTCCTCATGCCTGTAACTGACAGTTGTGACCCCTTTTTTGTCAAAAGAAAGGCCCTTCATAACCCTCACACATAAAGTGACAATAATAACAAATCAGCAGCAGTTCCCTTTTAGTGAACACCTGTTAGGCACAAGCCTTGTGCTAGGTGCTTTACAAAAATGTACTGATTCATTTAACCTGCAAGACAGCGCTGACTGGTACCATTGGTACCAATTGACCTAGTTAATGTAAACACAAAGAAAAAGTGTCAAGGGCCGGCCCGGTGGCGGACTGCTACAGTGCGCCGCTTAGGAGCACGGTGGCACTCCCGCCGAGGGTTCGGATCCCACATGCAGACCGGTTCCCGCTCACTGGCTGAGCGAGGTGCGGGCGCAGCACCGAGGGTTGCGATCCTGTTGCCGGTCCCGGTCCGGTACGGGCGCGACACTGAGGGTTGCGATCCATTGCCGGACACGAAAAAAGACAAAAAGGAAAAAGAAAAAGTGTCAAAAGGACATAAGCTTATAGAATTGCTGGCAAGTCTGAAGGACTGGGTTAAGACGTGGACAGCAACCAGGCCGAGAGTCTGGGTAACAGGATTCCTCGTCTGTATTGTCATGATATTGTGGCTGGAAAGAATGGCCTCTACTTTTATTATTATCATTTTTTTTAATCAATGTGTTTGAGTTTAAAATTCTGGAAAATTTGTGGATGATTGGCTGGGTCATAAATCTGATCGCTTGGCTGGTGCAGGGAAAGCACCTTCATTAACAGTTCCAACAGTCTGTAACTGTTGCGGAGATGTCATTCCCTGAAAGGAAGTTGCAGTACTGTGACCAAAAGACAATGAAATGGATCTTGGGCAATGAAAAATCAAAAAATGTCTATCATGGGCCGGCCCGTGGCTCACTCGGGAGAGTGCGGTGCTGATAACACCAAGGCCACGGGTTCGGATCCCATATAGGGATGGCCGGTTGCTCACTGGGTGGGCGTGGTGCTGACTGTCATTCCCTGAAAGGAAGTTGCAGTACTGTGACCAAAAGACAATGAAATGGATCTTGGGCAATGAAAAATCAAAAAATGTCTATCATGGGCCGGCCCGTGGCTCACTCGGGAGAGTGCGGTGCTGATAACACCAAGGCCACGGGTTCGGATCCCATATAGGGATGGCCGGTTCGCTCACTGGCTGAGCGTGGTGCTGACAACACCAAGTCAAGGGTTAAGATCCCCTTAGGTCATCTTTTAGAAAAAAAAAAAAATGTCTATCACAATTATTATTGCCATCTTCCAGATGAGGAAGTTGAGGAGATCAAGATTTAACTTGCCCAAGGTTACACAGCCCAGCCAGGATTTGAAACCAGGCAAGCCCAAAGCCTGAGCCCACGCTCTATAAACCTTTTTGTTTTTCTGCTTTTGATATACTTTTTTCTTTCTTGACTCCCAGGGCCCAGAGCTGTTTCTGCTACAGAACCCAGTGCCATAAGCTTGCAGAGTAAGGCCAGCACTTGCAGGCCTGAGGACAGCCCGAACTCTGGGCCAGATGGAAGAGAGCCGAGCAGAAGGGGAGGGGCAAAGAAGTATTCCAAGACCCTGAGAAAAAGAAGGTCTTTCCTACAGACCGACTACACCTCCCAGGTCTCATTTCCCCTGGTGCCATCAGCCTCCCTGGAGAGCGTGGACGACGTTTGCTACTATGACAGGGATCCCTACCTCGCCCTCAGTGCACCCTCTCCTACTGTGTCCTCTCTGCAGGATGTGCAAGGTGAGCCTGGCCTCCTGGAGACCAAGGCTCTGGGGCTGCAGGCTCCCCTGAGGGAGGCCAAGAACAAAAACCCAGCCTCCAGTGTCATGGAGATGGAGCCCGAGACCATGGAAACCAAATCAGTCATTGACTCTCGAGTATCTTCCATTTCTGCCATTCGCCTCCGGATTGACCCCAACCATAAAGAGAATTCTGGGGCTGCCCCTTTGACTGCCACTGTTGCCAGTTCCTTGGCAAGCACCCCTCACTGTTCCAACCCAGGTTCATCTGGCCCAGATACTGTTCAAGCCCAGCCTTCCCAAATCTTACCTCTATTTCAAGACCCAGATAGCACTGCCCCCAAAGAACTCACCCTAGAGCGTGGGGACAGCACCTTCTCCCTCTCCAGTGATCACCCTAACCCAGACAGAGTCTGCCTGGCCCTCAGCCCAGGACCACATAATGTCTCTCAAGGAGAAACACTAGAGCTGGGAGGAGTCCAACTGGAAATGGGATCGGGATCTTTTATTACAAATCATATGCAAGAAACTGCCCCCCAAAACACAGAGCCTTTGTTGTCTCCTGGAGATGGACCTGAAAGTGATGAATGTGGAATAAATTCAGGAGAGAAAATGGCTTCTGTCCCTAAAAAGAAGGAGCAACAAGGACAACTGTCTTTTGAAAGTGACAGAGAAATTACAAACAAAAAAGGCACTAACTTGTTTCAGGAGTCTGGGAAGGATTCGGGTGACCCCAAGGGTGATGAGTCAAATGCTGTTCCACTGGCTCTTGATGTTCGTACTCTAGCTGGTGAGACCATAACCTCCCTCTCCCTGGGGGCTCCTGTAACAAGGACTGTGCAGACCCCGCCACAATCCCCCAGAGGACAAAGCAGAGAAACCCCAGGCCAAGCCTGCTGGGCCCAAGAACAAAAAATGCTGGCAGAGTTGGATTTAGAGCCTGATTTTTTACCTGGGGAACAGAACATTCCATCAGTCTTCCCTCCAGAGGGGGTCAAGGCAGAGCCACTTAACCATGTAACAGGGGAAGATACAGCCCCTCAGGAAACCCCTCAGCAGGTCTATTTTAACCCAGGTCCTTCCCTGCCAAAGCCACTACCATGTTCCCAAGAGGAGCCCCATTTAGAAGCTTCAAACCATTGTTCACTGTCAGAAAGCAAAGACAGCTCTAGCATCTGCCTTCCTGCTGAGAAGTCTGTCCTGTGTTTTGCTGCAGAAAGCCATCCTGAAGTTCCTGCCAGTCTCAGGATAGCCAAAACTTTGGGTTTTGCGGGTGTGGATGAGGCAGCTCCCAGGATTGGGCTGGATCAGTGTAGCTGTCAGTTCTCCTATGCCACGTGCTTTCGCGGCCCGCAGCCTGAGACAGAGGAAGAAGACAAGGACTCAGAAGCACACATCACAGCCCCCCTCACCTCGCCGCCCTCTGCCGGAAGCCAGCTGCTTCTGCCCTGGAGGCCTGCCCGGGCCCACAGCTGCAGCACTGAGCCCCTTTTGAGGAAAAGCCACATCTGGCCAGAGTACTGCTCCAGGGCTCTGAGACAGCTGAAAGCCGCCCCTGCCAGCACCCCTGAGGGCTTCATCCAACTCATGGAGAGCTTGCTGGAGCTACAGGACATTTTAGAAGCTTCCTGGTGGATTGGAAACAAACACGCCCCAGAGAAGTGCACCTGGCACTTTTCTGAAAGCCGGAGCCGCCTCTGCATGGGCTCCCAGAAGCTACTGTCGAGCTGTCAGCATGTGATCAGAATGGACCAGTCCCCTGAAGAGATGCAGGGTGCCGTGCGTGACACCTTCCAGCACCTGGTCCAGCTGGCCAGCCTGTGCTTCCAGTTCACAGACTGCAGCCGCTGCTCTGCCCGGCACAGGGAAGCGGCTGGGAACCTGAGGGACGTGGTGTATACCTACCACCAGTTTGTAGAGGCTGCTAAATTGACCTGTGAGAGAGGCTACCACGACCTGAGTGTGAAACTCTTGGCTCGTCAGTGCACGGCTCTCACAGCTGCCGTGTTCTGCTTGACCCAGAAGTTCCGGGCATCCACTGCACTGTGAACAGGTCAACTTCCTAGGGACCCCTGCCCCACCCTGCCCTGGACACTTCCCTGGGAAGCCCCTTCCAGTTCCTCACCCATCCCCTTCAAATGTTTACTCTCTAGAGTATTCAAATAAAATGCTACTTAATCTTGGCCTGAATCACAGAGTGATGATAAGTGTGGGTCAAAAGCATTCACTCATATTCATTCAACAAACATTCACTTGCTACTTCCTTTGTGCCAGGCCTTGTTCTAGGAGCTTGAGATTTACAGATTAATAAAATAAGTCCCTGCCCCGATCAGGATGCTCACAGACCCTGTAGGGTACAAATTAGTAGAATGCCATCAGTAAGGTGTGTACCATAAAAGGAACATATGGTGGGGGGCGGGGGTGGAAGCAAGAGGAAGTCGCAAACTTGTCCTAAGAAGGCAGGGATGAGGGAGGAACGTAGCGGTCATTGAAAAACAGTCTTGACTTTTCACATCACACTGATTTGGCAGTAGCCTTCACAAATAAGAGTGAATACATATGATATTTGACAGATTCTACCTTTACAAGTTTTGGTTTGCAACATCTGGTATTGGTATTGGTGGGCAGCTCTGGTATTCTAGGCTGCCTCGCTGTGGTAAGCATAGGTAGCCACTAGGTGGCAGTAAGTTTGAAAGTTGCATGACCACCGAGATGTAGGTGTGTTCTGTGCTTTATCTGAAATTGACTGCACCCTTGAATCTTGCACCCAGTTTTTGCCTTAAATGTATAAAAGGCAAACATTAAAGCCCTGAATTAAATTTGGCTTTTAAAGAATAATAGTAGAGCAAATGAAGTATATTCAGTACTTTTCTCACCAACCACAGTTAAACCAGTTAATCCCAGTTTATCTTGGTGAAATTTGGACAGCACCTCTCAATGCTTTGGTTATCTCTTCTGTAAATTGGAATGCTAATAATGCCCACTTTATAGGATAGAAATCCAGTAAAAATAAATAAATGTTAGTAATAACCCTCTCCTAGTCTGAAATCCTCCCCTGCATTTTGTTTTCAGACTCCCTTGGGATGCCTTTTCCCCTGGCTTCTTTTTCCAGACCAAAAGTGGTTTAGTCACTCACCTGAGCTATTACAGTTCATCAAAGGGTTTCCTTTGTCCCTCTGGTGTGAGTTCAGTGCTGCCCTGTAGCTCTCCTCCCCCAGGGCTCCCTAATCCCTCTCCTTCACCCAGCAAACTCAAGAACAGAGATGACGGGGCCACTGGATAGTGTGCCGCTTGGGAAGCGCGGCGGCGCTCCCGCCCGAGGGTTCGGATCCCACATACAGATGACCGGTTCCCGCTCACTGGCTGAGCGAGGCGCGGGGGCAACACCGAGGGTTGCAATCCCGTTGCCGGTCCCCGGTCCGGTACGGGGGCAACACTGAGGGTTGCGATCCGTTGCTGGACACGGAAAAATAAGACAAAAGACAAAAAAAAAAAAAAGAACAGAGATGAGTGTTATGTCATGTACCTAAGCTCTCTCCAATTAGAAGGAAAGCAATTCTTGGGAGAAGAGAGTAAAAGTTATCTTTCCCATCCCCCGTTACCAGGTACTTGTTAACTAGTAACCAGTTAACTAGTACTTGTACCAGGAAAAGATATATTTTCTGAGAGGCTTGTTTCTTTTCATAGAATACTTTGAATAAAATTTAAATAAGGTTCTTGAACACAGATTTGAAGTCATTTCATGGCAATGAGAGATAGGAACAACAGGGCACCAAAATAATAAAAATTATATGATATTAATCAGGACTTGAAACTTTTGTCAGCAGAAAGCTATGAAGAGCTGAATAACTTATTTATGTGAACAGAGTCTACATGTTCACAAGTTTAGGGAAGGAGCTCAGGACTTTACTCAATCAGGGCTTGAATCCTGGCAGTGGCTTGTGTTATAGACACTTCTCTTGGCCTCAGTTTCCCCATCTTGCAAAAAGAAATAATATGTCTCCATTTAATGAGGGCCTCCAATGTGCCAGATTCCTTATTTAGATACCTTGAATACATTTTTTTATCAACACTACCAACACTGTAGGGATTTTGATATATATATTCAGCATTATTATGAGAAACTATCGTGGAAGGCAAGAAGAAGACTGAAGCCTCCAGCTCAGTCACTCAATAAATGTTTATTTCCCTCTCTTTGTTTCACCTCCCCTCAAGTCGAATTAACTTTCTTCGGTTGCTACTGTATGGAGTTGGTACTTTTCTCTGCAGTTCCCATGGGAAGGACTAAGTTCCAGAAGTGCAGGGAAACTCTTTATTGCTTAGTGAGAAGCTAAAGTTCACTTTAGCAGAGGGAGTTGCCCTGTTTAAGAGCAGCCCAGGATGGGGCTGCCTAACCCGCATCAAGAGTCAATTCTTTAGTGACTAAGAAACTACTGGATATTTACAGCCTTACTTCCTTTTCACACCCACCATCACATTGGCTGACTCATTTCCTTCAACATTTATGGTTACACCCATGCCAAGTGATGCCTGATGCAGGATTGTGGATATAAATAATTGGTTGAGAATCCTATTTTCAAGAGCTCTTAGTGGAGATTAGATGATACATAGAGATAGAGACAACGTAAGGCATGTTGTGTTCAGGGCAACCAAAGAGAACAGATAAGGAGCTGTGAGGGCTCAAAGGAGAAAGGTCATTTTTAGGTGAGGGCAGAGTAGTAATCAGGGAAGGCTTCTTGTATGAGGCAGCATTAATTAGAACTAGTATGTCAAGAAATATTTATTGAGTATCTACTGTCTGTCAGGCCCTGGATTTGGTAGGTAGGTTTTGGATGTGTCAAGAAAGGAAAAGAATCATTAATTTATTCTGTCAACAAGTACTTATACCATGCATTGTAATGGGAAATACAATCGTGAACACGGTAGATATAGTCTTCTTAAGGAACTTATAATCAGTAGAGAAGACAGACATAGACAAAAAATACATTACTGACTGAGAGGTGACATAAAGAAAATGAACAGTATACCAAAACAGGGATGGAGTGAGCCAGTCTTACATTGGGTGGTCAGGAAAGGCCTCCCCGAAGAGGGAATATTTAAACTGAGGCCTAAAGAATAAGGAGCTAGCCAGGAGGAAAAGTGGGAGGACAGGGAACAGTATCTGCAAAGCCCCATGGAGTGTTGGAAGCATTTCAAGAATACCATTGCGACTGGAATATGGCTGGAGGAACAGCAAAGGGAGGGGCAGACTTGAACCAGGCTGTACAAGGCCATGGGAAGGGGGTTAGACAGGAACAAGGGGAAGCCACTGAGGGATTTGGAGTAGGGGAGACACAATCATCTGGCAAATGGATGAGGGGAGGGGACAGTGAGACCAGCTAGAAGGTCTCCTTCATGGAAAGTGGTCATGAGCTTTTTTAGAGGTGAAGGGACACAGGAGCAGTTGCAGAGGGGGAAGGTATTCAGTATGGCTGAGTGTGAGGTGCAGGGACAAGTTGGTGTGGTGGGAGCTAAAATCTGAAAGGGTCATTGAGGATCATTTGAGCCACTTTGCAAGCCCCACTGAGGCATTTCAGCAGGCAGTGGGAAACCAGGGCCAGCTTCTGAGCGGAGAAGAGAAGTTAGAGCTGGGTTTTAGAAAAAGCCTTATGGGGAGAAATGAATGGGCACCGGTAGGAGATAAAAAAAGGACTGAAGCATGGATTGGTTGAGGACGGGGTAGGGATTGCTGGAGGAGCTATAGAAAGAAAAGTGCAGAGGGGGAAACTGTGGGGCCAAAGAGGAATCTAATCAGGCTGTGGTTTCTTGAGAGGGAGATATTTCCAGCTCATTCATGGTAGGGTCTCTCTGAAAGAGTGAGACCCCTAGTTCTGCAGGAGTGAAGGGACGTGTGGCTGATAGTCTTAATCAGGCAAGGCTTAAGCAAGTCACTTCATGTCTCTGAGCCTCAGTTTACCCGCATAGATATGAGGGGAGCTGGAGGAGGAAGAGTGGCTAGGGGCTAGAATCGTTGCTTGCAAAAGCCCTGACATGTCTGTTGTAAGCCTGAGCATCCAGGTATCGGAGAGCAGGGCTGTCTGCTAAGGAAAGGGTTGTGTTAGCTAATAGGCCCTGCTGGTTCTGGAGAAGCCTGCGGGAAGGGAATGTCCCCAGGCTGCGGGATGACTGGCGGTTCAAGTCTTGGTTTCACACGAGATTCGCCATGTCCAGTCCTTGACAGCCAACAAGGCACGTGGTTACCTGCAGGAGCACGTGAGAAGGCTCAGAGAAGCGCGCAACACTCCCGGCGGGACGCAGCTCCCTAGCGCCTGGGCTGGGAGCAGAAGCTGCAGCCTGGGCTCCGGCCCCCGCCCCCCGAGCGCCGGCCAGGTGGGAAACTACAATTCCCGGGATGCCATTCGGAGTGGGGTCAGGAACCGGAAGTGAGGCCGGAGGCGGAACCAGATGTGCGCCGTCGCCGCTGCGTGAGGTGACGGGATCAGGTACGCACTGGCTCGCTTAGGGGGTGGCTCAGGGCCTTTGGGGTCCCGCGTGGGGGCGCTGGCTCGCTCGCGGGAGGGGCGGACGCTGGGGGGGAGCAGCGTTCACAGTCCTGTGGCCTGCGGTACCCCACCTTCTGGGTGCTTCCTTTTCCTTCCTGCCTTGGCACTCGCAGTCTGTGGGACAGGCAGGACCCGCGGGAGGGTACTCTCGGGCCTGGCGTCTGGGTGTGCTAGTGCTGAAGGTGCCAGAGGAGTGGAGCCAGCTTTGGTGGACTGCAACTTAGAATGAGAAAGAAGTGTGCAGACCGAGGCAGGTCCATCATTTAGCCCCCGCGTACCTACGCTCGTCAGGTGGGACTCGGGCTAGGAAAGGTCTGAGGCCTCTGTCAGCCTGAGATGAGGAGGAGTGGAGGATTTAAGAACTGAGCAAGTACTTATTGAGCGTCTGTAAGCAAACAGAACACTCGCTTACGTTGTAGGGATGGGGGAGGTTCAGACAAAAAATAAGCAAAGTAGGCCATCTTGGAGAGCGAAAATGTGAATAAAGATAGTCATATAATTACCTGAGGGAAGAGCATTGGGGGTAGACAGAACAGCAAATGCAAAGGCCCTGAGGTGGGAATATCCTTGGTATGTTTGAGGAACAAATAGACCAGAGAGTGGGAGGAACATAGATGGAGGAGGAAGACCTTAATGATCTGTATAGGCTATTGTATGGATTTGGGCTATTTACTGTAAGTGAAATGAGGAATACTGCAGGGTTCTAAGCGGAAGAGTGATATTATTATCAAACTTTTAAGATGCTCTTATTTTATGAAGCTCAGTACTGAGTACTGGGCGTGTGCAGGTGAATTCTTCATTCTCTCTTCCCTGGAAGGGTTTATATCCTAGTGGGGAAACATAGGGAGACCAGGTGTCATACGAGGCTGAGTCAGATAATTGGAGCCCCGTGAAGGCAGAATAAATGTCATTCCCAAATTGCCAGCATGTACTGTTATGTCAGGTGCTTAGTAACTTTGTTGAGTGATTAAGTAATTAATAGTCCTAATACTCAGCACCAGACCTGCAATGGAGGCTCAGAAAAGATTTTTGAATAAATAAATGAAATGCTAAATCTGGACATAGATAATGTCCCACACAGGTTCAGCATTTCTGTGCTTCTCTGATGCCTAGCTTCGTCTTGGCTTTCTGAGGATCCCTAGGTGGCAAGCTCCTATTCAGCATTTACTGAGCTTCTGTTCTGTGCCAGGCTTTCTGCCGGTCACTGAACATAACCAAGATGAAAAGGAGGGTGTCCATCAGGAGTGTCCAGTTTACTGTATTACATATTCTTCTGGTGGCAGTTGGGGTTGTCTTTATCAGATTTTCAAGATCACTACCTCCCAAGCTCCTGGTCTGGAAACATCCTCAGAGACTACAGGAATTTGAGGAGGCATGAGATAAAAGGAAGGGAAAAAGAAGAAAAGGAATGGGAGTGGTGGTAGTAAAATTTAGTTCAGTTCAACAAACGTCAGACACTGCTGTTTGCAAGGTTTTATACTGTGAGCTGTTCAGTATTTAGTTAAATGTAGGCATAATTCCTCCTACAAAGGAATTCAGTCTGGTGGGAGAGAAAATATCAACACAGACTTTCCAATTTTTTTAAACAATGGTAATGGAAATCTCTGTAGCCCCTCCACCTACTTCTATTCTAGCTCTCTTTTCTCCTTCTCAGCCAGACTTTCTCCAAAAGGCCTCTCTCTACATCCATTGCCTCCCAGTTATTCCCCGACAGGCCCTGACACATAGGAGGAGCTCAATGAATATTCATTGACTAAATGAATGGTCAAACACAGGTAAGAATACAAAATACAATTAAATTAAGAGGAGGAAGAGATCACATGGCTGTTAACAAACTAGCATTCATTTAACAAGTTGGTGTTTTTCACACTCAACTAAAATGTAGTTGTCAGTTATTGGACCAGTTTATCTTTTTCATTTGTTTTTTTTTCTAAATGCCTAAATGCAAAACAATGCAGATGACTCTGATGGTTGGCATAACATAGTTTGTTCAGTCATCCAGAGGAAGTATCGTAACAGGGGTCTGTATATCTTTTGTTGAAGAAGATATTTATGTGGTGCTGATAACACCAAGGTCAAGGGTTTGGATCCCCTTACTGTCCAGCTGCCAAAAAAAGGAAAAAAGAAAAAAAAAAAGATATTTATAGTCAGCTTTACTGTTCATATATGAACAATTCTGAAATGTTTAAGAATAGCTTGGTATTTTCTTCATTTTTCTGGAAATATTATGTAAACTATTAAATTTTGTATATGCCATTAACTCAAATACAATTACAAATTTGTACTTACTAGTAAAGAAAGGATTTATAAGCAGAAGTAAACTGTAGCCTAAGCAGGCAAATGAACACATCTCAAATCTGTAATTTAGAAAACCTAAATTATATTTTATATATTTTACTTTAAGAAGCTGGGGGGCGGGTAAAGTAGAATAAAGTAAATAATAAAGAGCAGAAATCAGTAAAATAGAAAATATACGGTAGAGAAAATCAGTGAAACCAAAGTTGAAAAGATTAATAAAATTTATAAGCTCCTAACTGGACAGATAAAAAAAAATTTTTTTTAAAGAGCGAACTCAGGAACATCACTATAGACAGTAAATGGATGACATTTGTGAATAGCTTTATCTCAATAAATTTGACAACTTAGATGAAATGAACAAATTCAGTAAAAGATATAGGTTCCAGAGCAATTAAGTTGGAAAAGGAAGTCTTTTCTACAAATCATGTTGGACACAAAAATGATATGTTTGTGACTTTGGGGTAGGAAAAGATTTCTTAAAAAGACAGAAAGTGTTGGGCCGGCCCGGTGGCGCACTGGATAAGTGCACCGCTTGGGAAGCGCGGCGGTGCTCCCGCCCGAGGGTTCGGATCCCACATGCGGACCGGTTCCCGCTCACTGGCTGAGCGAGGCGCGGGAGCAACACCGAGGTTTGCGATCCCATTGCCGGTCCCCGGTCCAGTGCGGGGGCAACACTGAGGGTTGCGATCTGTTGCCAGACACGGAAAAAGACAAAAAAAAAAAAAAGACAGAAAGTGTTAATGATAAAAGAAAAAAATTGATAAATTAAGACTTCATCAAAATTTAAAATTTCTGCTCACCAAAAGGCATTGTTAAAAAAATGAACAGGCAAGCCACAGATGGAGAATATAGTTTCACTATATACTCGTATATCTGAAAAAGGACTTGTATTCAGAATATACGATTAATTTCTACAACTCAATAAAAAAAAGAAATTTTGAAATGAGCAATAGACTTGAACAGTTATCTTGCAAAGGTAGATATATTATGAATGGCCAATAAACTGCATGAGAAAGTGCTCAATGTCATTAATAATGAAAGAAATGCAAATTGTAACAACAAGGTGCCACTACACAAGAATGGTTAAAATTTAAAACCCTGACAAAACCAAATTTTCGTGATGGTGTGAAGCATCTGGAATGCTCATCCATTACTGACAGCAGTGTAAAATGGTACAGCACTTTGGGAAACTGATGGCAGTTAAATAGACACCTATCCTGTGTCTCTGCAATTCTTCTCTTAGGAACTTAGCCAATAGAAAACATACATCCACAAAAACACCTGTATGAGAATGTTCATAGCAGTTCTATTCATAATATCACAAACTGGAAAAATCTCAAGTGTCCATCAACAGAAGAATAAATAAATTGTGGCATATTCATATTCAATGTAGTATATTCATACTACTCAGCAATAACAAGGAACTACTGATAAATGTAGAAACTGATACATGTATGAATCTCAAAAACATTATATCGAGGGGGGGGAGGAAGTGAAGTTCTAAAGGGTATATAGTATCTGAATCTATTTATATGAAGTTTTATAATAGACACAGCTAATCTGTGGTTATAGAAAACAGCAGTGGTTGCCTTTGGCAGGTAGTGGGAATGGGAAAGAGACTGATTTGGAAAGTGCAGAAGGAAGTGAAACTTTCTGGGGTGATGGAAATGTTTAATATCTTGTGGTGGGTATGAGTGACACAGGTCCTATGCATTTGTCAAAACTCATTGAGCTAGTGTATTTTACCCCCCCCCCCACGCACACACACTCTCACACACTCACACTCATTAAAATCTCTGCATTTTAGGGCCGGCCCGGTGGCGCACTGCTATAGTGCGCCGCTTGGGAAGCGCGGTGGCGCTCCCACCGAGGGTTCGGATCCCACATACAGACCGGTTCCCGCTCACTGGCTGAGCGAGGCGCGGGAGCAACGCCGAGGGTTGCGGTCCCGTTGCCGGTCCCGGTCCGGTGCGGGGGCGACACTGAGGGTTGCGATCCGTTGCCGGACACGGAAAAAGACAAACAAACAAAAAATCTCTGCATTTTACTATTCAAGTTACTTCAAAAAGTTCAAGGAAAAATAGAAGATAATATGAATCTTTCTATGAACTTTTTGAGGTACCCTTGTGTTGGGAAAATACAGGAAAATGTTCAGGGCCTCTCAGATGTTCAGAATCTTGCTGAACATTTGATGTAAATAAGCACGTGCACCCAGGTGTTCCTTGGTTATTGTCTAATGTAATTGCACATGTGCACCCAAGTGTCCTGGGTTATGGACTTAAGTATGAAGGACTAATGGCTCTGATACATGGTGCTTCTTGGGATGCTCCAGGAGGCCACTATGGTGGCTGCTCCTAGCTCTGAGTAAAGCCTATTAATTTTTTACCCATGGCTCCCAGGATCTTTTCCTATTACCTAGCTCATGGACCTGCCTGTGAAGGGTTTGTGACCCAGGCTGTACCATGGACTTGAGGGGTCTGTGAGCCCTAGCCCTAGCAATACACCTTGTATGTAAATTATACCTCAAAAAAATTTAAAGATCAAGGTAACTAAAAAAGAATTTAAAATAATAGGGGGTTGTTTAAGTGATTTGAATTCTCTTGTTTCATAGGGAGCCAATAAATTCAAAGATGACGAATCAAGAAGTAACGGTGTAAGCATATGATTTCAGGTTAAGGAGATAATTACCAGAAGAACTAAAGACAACTGGTTAACAAGGGTTGCCACTAGAGATAAAAGGGGTAGGAGGAATAAGGATCACTACTCTTCATTATGAATAGGGCTTTTTACCGTACACATGAATCATATTACAGATTTACCTTTTTTTTTTTTTTAAGTTTTTAAAAAGATGACCGGTAAGGGGATCTTAACCCTTGACTTGGTGTTGTCAGCACCACGCTCAGCCAGTGAGTGAACCGGCCATCCCTATATAGGATCCGAACCCTTGGCCTTGGTGTTATCAGCACCACACTCTCCTGAGTGAGCCATGGGCCGGCCCCAGATTTACATTTTTAAAGGTATATTTTTCCTAAAGTAGTGCTAGTGTGACTGGATTCAGAGGACCAGCCATGGGCAATGGTCACACCACTCTTGGTCTGTGACACTTGACCATAAATTAGAGCATTTCTGACTCATTATTATCTTCCTCAGAGATTTTGAATACCACTTTGAAAATTATGACATCATTTGTTAAGTGTCCTGTAACAGTGCTTAAACATTCTCACTGGTGACTGGCTTTCTTCTCCAGTGATACTCATCTCAGTTGGGGAAGGGAATACATAGTTTGAAAAAACTAATTCTGATATATCACCAACAAACTAGAAGAATTCTTGGTTAGTTTCATTCCACTCTACCATATTTTTGGCTAGCTCTTCATCCTCCCAGGATGTTTCTAATACAGGACCTTGCATATAATAGGTGCTCAATAAATATTTGCTAAAGGACTGATTTTGAAAATCAACTATTTGAAATATAATGGGGGAGGTGAGGTGGCTTTTGCCATCTCTGTCCCACACTCAAATTATGCAATGCATTTCAAAGAACATAATAAATAACTTGGTTATCTGTGTCCCTGCAGCATCAGATAATCATTGATTGCTTGGACGTGTCAGGAGTTGTGCTTGTCCTCCAAGAAGTGTATTTGGCTTCCTTACTCCTGAACTATTTCTGTGCTGAATCATTTCTCTGGAAGACATGCTTTTCTCAGTTTAATAAATCTGGGTCTGTTTTTACACACTTCTCCTTCAGTAATACAATAACACTATTTGTCATTTGGATATAGGGAAATAATTATATAAGTGAAATGAGGTAATATCTCACATAATGGTCTTTTTCCAATCTGGTTGAAAGGACAGAGGACTAAGCACATGGACTGGAAATTGGAAGGGGATGCTCAGAAAACAGAGTCACTTGTGCTGCAGGGGCAAGAAGGCGTCCTAGAGGACACATGTGAAGATGGAATCTTTGAAACCTTCAAACTTCTGCAGATTGATGTGGACTGCGAGCGTGGGGAGGGAGAGACCCTGCCCACAGGCAGTGCAACATGGTGCTCGGTGAGTGCAGTGAGTTGCCTGGCCATAGGCTTTGAGTGATGGACTGTCCCAGAGACCTCTGCTACAGATAATAAAAAGAGATTGAGGATGAGTTTTGTGTTTTCTAAGTGACAAATTGATTTCCTGCTAACTGGTTTAAGGTTTTAGTTCCATTTGAGTCATAAGAAAAATTTTAAAAGGAATTTTTTCAAAGGGTGAGGAAATCTAAATTCTGCTTTAGGCCCTGTCCCTGATGAATTTACTGTGACCTTGAGCAGGTCACATCTCTTTTTCTGGGGCTCTGTTTTCTCTGAACACAGTCCACTCTGAAATGGTGGGTACTGATCATTCCACCTTGGGATCCTATGGAATGGAAAGAACTTGAAACGGGTGGGAGGAGGGGAGGAGAAGATGAAGGCGAGGAGCTGGGCATCTCCACAGTTGCTTGTTCCATCTCATGTAGAGGAGAGGTGGTCCTAATATCCTTTTCACTCCTGATTTTATAGGTAAGTGAAAAAATAAGTCACTGTTTCTAATATTCATTTTCCTTTTTGTGCTTATAAAGTTCTCAAACAATTTTGTTTTCTGGATAACATAAGAAAAATGTCCAGAGAAAACAGAGACACTGGGAAAAGATAGTTGCAGCAAAGAAGAGCAAAAGAAAACAAGAAAAAGAAAGAAGAAAAGCCAATCGAGCAGAAAATCCAGGTAACAATACATGAGATTGTTGGTGTAATCATATTTATCTTTTAGCAAACTAATGTCTGCATGTTCCTAGGAGAGTAGGAATTTTGTCTAAGTAAAAACATACATTTGGGAGGTAGGACCCATTGTCCTATTTTGGGGGGTATCAAAGTATTAAAGAAAGCAAAATTTAAGGCTGCTTTTTAAATATAAGCTGTCTAGTGAACAGATGTGTTTATAAGCTCAGAAGTAGAAGGAATGATACCAGTGACAACTAACATTTATTCAGTGCTATGTGCCAGGTTCAGTTCTAAGAATTTTACGTGAATTACTCTAAGGGGTAGGTATTATTATTATCCCCATTTTGTAGGTGAAGAGACTGAGACTCAGAGAAATTAAGAAGCCTGCCCAAGATAATTTAACTAATAAATGAACAAACTGAACTTGGATTTAAACCCAGCTGTGTGGCCGGCCTGGTGGCGCACTGGATAGTGCGCCGCTTGGGAAGCGCGGCGGCGCTCCCGCCCGAGGGGTCGGAGCCCACATACAGCCCGGGTCCCCCTCACTGGCTGGGCCAGG